ATAAATCAATATAAATTATTAAGATTAATTAAAAAATTAAAAAAAAATAAAATATATAAATTTCTCGCAGATGAAAAAAATAATTACTAAAAAAAAATCTTGAGATTTTTTTAAATAATTTTGAATTAATATTAATTATATCAGAAATATTCGATATCTTTTATGATTTCACTATATATTTTTGAATATTTAAATCTTGCCATCTTTTTTATAGAATTCTAAAAAAAAAAATTAATCAAATCGTAATTCTAATTGAACTTCTTATTACTGAAATATTGTAAATCTTCTTCAACGTTTTCTTGAATATATAAATGAAATTAGATTTTTCGGTCCCAAATGATATGATTATCTATAAAGTAGAAATCATTATCAATAATCTTATTTATATCTACTATTCTATATGAATGAATGAATTAATAAGAGAGTATAGGAATGAAAATTATTATATATCCTTGCGATCCAATTAAGAAATATATTGGAGATATACCAACGATCAAGAAAAAATAGTATCAGTAGCCAAAGAAAAATAAGAACACAAATATTCTTGAAATCCCATCCAAGAAATTCAATTTTCTTCCCCAGATCAACATCGAATGCAAAAGGCCCTAGCCCTGGAACTCATTTGCAGCAAGAAAGCCCTGAGATGCAGACAGCATGTCCACGGCAGTCGGCTTCCGATTCCCTTGCAGACCTGATTGGCGCAGCAAAAGCAGACAGAGGAGGTTCTGGCTCCAGTCCGCCAAATCTGAATTGGATGGAGGGGCTTCGTGATAAAAAAAGTCGTGCGCAAACGACAAGTCCTCTAGCAATTGGGCAGCTTTGGGAGCGTTTTTCTGGTTTGGGAAGCGGAATTGGTTCGATGAGAATCTGATTTGGCTGCGGCCAACACGAAACGCTCACGAGTGCAGAAACGAGTTGTCAAACAATCAGCATGTGGCCCTTTCCATGTCGACTTGTATTCATATGTATATCCATGCAAATTTGACAAGTGATCAGCCCTAAACCCTAAACCCTAAACCCTAAACCCAACAGTCTCGAGTTGCCGTAGTCCGTCTATGCCGGGACGCAAATCCAAGAAAAAACGGGCTGAAGTTCTCCAGGCGATGCTGTCTGCATGCCTTGTTTGCACGAGTGCAAGAAAAATGAAAGAACCGCATCGAGCTCGTCGTGCTACTTAAAGAAGCATGAACATTCGTCTCCGGTTTAAAAAAAAAGCGGCCGCTTTTGCAACCTTAAACTCTACATGGTCACTCTGATCAGCTCTTCTTCTTGTTCCTCTTCGATGCCAGGTTCCTCAGATAACTCCCAGGCTTGCAAGTTTTCTTCCCACTCTTTGCCTCCACTCCGAGACCAGTCGTTGAGAATCTCCTGGATACTTTCATGCCGCGCCAGAGCGTAGGCTGGACGGCCACGGTCATTGCGGATGTCAAGGTCGGCGCGGGCTGCGAGAAGAAATTTGACCATCTCCGGAATGCCGTAGTAACATGCTGTGCCCAGCGCTGTCGTGCTCATCTCCGCCATGTACGACACCAGCAAAGAAGGATTCTTGCGGGCAAGCTTAATAGTACGGCAGGCGACCGTTAGAGGTCGGAAGACTCCACCACTTTTTCCACGCTTGTTGACATCGGCCCGCGCCTTCACAAGCTTTTTCGCAGTCTCTAGACCTTCGGCGTTGTCGGAGTACGACAGCAGAAGATACTGAAGAGGAGTTTGACCAAGGCCTCCGTCGCTGTCACTCACATCCGCACGGAGTTCAAGCAATTTGGCACATGTCTTCGTGTCCCCACCACGAATCAGCTGACCACAAAGGCCAGAGCACTTTGCGGGTGGATTCCGCAGATTTACATCTGCACCGTGGCTCACCAGCAACTCGACTCCCTCAGGAGTGGTGCAGAAGCACAGTGCTGCCCCACCAGCTGCGCAAGCACTGTTGGGATCTGCCTTCAGCTTCAGCATCTCCTTCAAGGCCGCGTGGCCCCACTTCCCGCAAGTAGCTGCAATGATCACAGGCGTGGAACCGACGGGCAATGCAACTTCCCAAAGGCCTGACCAACAAGGATCAACAAGACACAGCTTCAGACTTGCGCTTCCCTGACAGGTTTTATCTGCCCTTGACACACTCACGCACATGAGACTTCGTGGCCCGTTGCCCTACTCAAAAATCCTCAACTACTGTTTTGGGGGGCTGTGCTGTGGAGATATACACCGGCAACGGAGATTACGTGACTCGGCCTTGCAGCTTGGTGTCCAAAGGCGCCTTCATCTCCACCAACTGCCGTAGCAGCCCAACATCCCCAGACATTGCTGCACATGCCACCGCTCCAATGCCCTTCCGCTGCTTCAGGGCGGAATCCAAGGAAGGAAAGCGAAAAGCCTGCAGAAAGTCCTCCAAGCTTCTTGCGGGAGGGGACAACCCCGAGAAGCTTTCATACCTGCCCGCGAAGTAGCGGAAGAGATTGCCTGCCTTGTCGTTGTCGCGGAGATGGGCGAGGTAAGTATCGACGGCGGTCCGCACCACTTGGCTGCAAACTTTCCGATCAGACTCCACAGCGAAGTTGCCTTCATGCACGGGTGACCGCACCCAACTCAAAGAACCGACGAACTCCACCTTTGCGGCTGAGAAGACGACCATGATGGGCGTGAGGGCTCCGGGTCGAGAAGCTTGCACCACATCTCAGTTCTACACCAACCCCGACCCAGCCAGCTGTGGTAGTCACATGGGATTCCTGTTTCAACGTGCCGAAGCGGGGGGACCAGGGCCATGAACACTTGAGAACACTGCACGTAGCGTGGAATGGACAAGATGTGTTGCATTTGCAAGGTTCGCACTTCTTCAAGTTGCCAAGAAGGTATGTTTTCTGTCTGAGGCACCGAAAACCAATCGAACCAAACGTGCGCGCTCTCCAGCTGCTTACCTTCTTCTGCTGACAGCACTCGGAAGTAGCCTTCGAACTGCGCAAGGAACTCCATTTCCACCTTGACTTTTGAGTTGATAAGGTTCAACAAAGCTTCCTGCAACACCTGCAGCTGTTTCCCTTCAGGATCAGGATGTGACGAACTCTGCCATTGATGAGACACGAACAGGACCTTGTAGCCCACTTGGCGCTTCTTCAGGATCCCTGCCTGCTTCAACGTCTGGTGAGGTTCAGGCCGCCCTCGCATCTTGAGCACATCCTTCACGTGGACGACCCACATGGGCGCTGAGTCATCCGCCGTGTCTTGGTGTTTGCTGTAGGAAAGCGCGGGTCTTCCGCTCTTTGCAAAAAAGATATAAACTTGAGAGCAGTGGTACATCACAAGCAAGCACAAGGATTTGTCTGGGAGGCTTCAGCTTCCGGAATGTATAACCCCTAATCTTGAGACCGGGCCCTGTATAGCACTCGAGCCGGCTAGGTTTCTGGCCTCTCGTTGGCATCCTTCGAGGTAGATCTCGAAACATCCAGCCTCGCAACTCGGAGCAAGAAACCACGGTTTAGGGTTTAGGGTTTAGGGTTTAGGGGTCAAAAATCTGGGAGTCGGGTTCAAGGCGCCCTACCTCCTATAATCTAAACGCTGAGCTCGCGAAGCCTGCTGGCCGCTACCGACGGGGCTGAGACAACCACAGGACCACCACAGTAACTGCCGGAACGAAACCAAATCACATGAATCAGCTGCTTTCACACGTTTCAGCCCATTCGACTCCTGCTCTCGCGTCGCACTTGCATTTTCGAGGGACAGGGAAAACGGCTTCTTGCCGATGTTCATGCCCTCGGCGTGCAAACCCCTTGCAGCTCAGGCTTGCCCTCAAGCCACAGCCAAAGAAGATGAGAACTTGGCTTTCACATCGTCAGCGTCACCCCAATCACCACCACCCTCGCCGGCTGCATCATCAGGTCTGTCGAGTCTGTTCCCGGGCTAGCTTTCATGATGAGGTCAATATTCTGGTGACTGTTATCCAAAAGCTCGTGAAATCCGCAGACCAGTTCGCCTTACAACAGCTGTCGGAGCAGATGACTTGATTGGAAGAGGTCAGTGCCTTCTCACTCAGGCAGGCGGAATTTACAACTACGATCAGAACCACAGCCGCCACCACAACAACACAACAATGAACATAGCAGTGAACGTAGCAGCATTAAGAAGCATAACAACTAAACCCTGGTTGAAAGCGCCCAAAACCCTGGAACCCCAAAACCCTAAACCTTAAAGTCTAAATCCTAAACACTAGACACCATCCCTCAGCCTCCATGCAGACGGTCTGCCACTTCCGTGGTCGATTGGCCCAGGTTCAAAACCCCGGTGTTCGTGGCGAAGCGGAGGCCGTGGAAGTTGGGCCTCACACCAGGGCTGCCCTAAAGGAACCCTTGAAGGAAGCCTTAACGCAACCCTTAAAAGGAACCCTTGAAGAAAAACTTAAAGAAACCCTTGAAGGAACCCTTAAAGAAACCCTTCCCTTAAAAAAACCCTCAAGGGACACATTGAAGGAACCCTTGAAGGAAACCTTAAAGAAACCCTTAAACGAAACTTTGAAGGAACCCTTAAAAGGAGCCATCAAAGAAGCCCTTGAATAAGGAACCCTTGAAGGAACCCTTGAAGGAACCCTTAAGGAAACCTTAAAGAAACCCTTCAAGAAACCCTTATAGAAACCCTTGAAGGAAACCTGAAAGAAACCCTTAAAGGAAACATTGAAGGAACCCTTAAAAGGAACTCTCAAAGAAGCCCTTAAAGGAACCCTTGAAGGAACCCTTAAAAAAACCCTTTAAAGAAACCCTTGAAGGAACCCTTAAACGAAACCTTCAAGGAACCCTCAAAAGGAACCCTCAAAGAAGCCCTTGAAGGAACCCTTGAAGGCCTTTGAAGGAACCCCTGAAAGGAAACATTGAAGGAACTAAAACGAACCCTCAAAGAAGCACTTGAAAGGAAACCGTAAAGAAACCCTTGAAAGGAACCCTTGAAAGAAACCCGTAAAGAAACCCTTTAAAGAAACCCTTGAAGGAACCCTTGAAAGGAAACCTTAAAGAAACCCTTAAAGGAACCCTTAAAGGAACCCTCAAAGAAGCCCTTAAAGAAACCATTGAAGAAACCCTTGAAGGAACCCTTAAAAGGAACCCTCAAAGAAGCCCTTAAAGAAACCCTTGAAAGGAACCCTGGAGGCTTAGGAATTCGGATTGAATGAGGTCCTGGGTTTACAAGTTTGGTCACACCTGACCACCCGAGTAGGTTACTTAAAGGACTCTGTTTCGGCAGGTGTGGGAAGGAAAAAGCCTGTCCCGGTCGGTTGAACGCCGAAGCCTTCCTTGCCCGGTTGGCACGACGCTTCAAAACCCCGTGCGATACATTGCTCGGAACATTAGATAGCGTGTTCATCCCACAAGCCTTACACCCTGCACAAATGACAAGAAAACAAGATCTAAACCCTGATGAGCCTTCAACCACAGAGACTGACAAACGAGCCAAAACCCCCGTAGTTTGGCCAGGCCTGCTGCGAAAGCGTGGACCTCGCTTTCCTCAGAGTCCTCCATGGCCTCGACAAAGCGAGGTTTCATGAGGGCTTGGTATGATCCTGCGGCTACTTCTTCAGCTTTATGCAGAGGGACTCAAGCATTCGTTCTCGCTCTCTCTGACTCTGCCTTCTGCGTGCCTCGAACAGCCTCGCGCGTCCTCGCCGGCCTTGCCTCGAGCAGTGCATTTGGGCTTGACGGTTGTAGGCCTGTAGGCGCCTAAACTTTAGCCTAAACCTTACAGCAAGCCCTACAACGATCCAAGTTTGAAGGCCTGTGCACGGCTGCAGCGAAGCTATACGGCCCTCATTGTAGCCCAGGGGTTCGAAGCAGTCAAGAAGTCTAGGGATAAGGCCTCTCGAAAACAGAGCGGCCTCGTCTCAGCTGGTTCTGATTGGCAACATCCTCCCAGCCATCTGCCTAGCTCCGCTCCTGTGCGATGCTTTCTTGTCGAGTTGAAATCGGCGAAAAAATCACGAACCCACGGCTGCCTGCTTTGAATCCACATACCTGGTAGCCTCTAGACTCATTGCTAAGATTTAACTTCTGGCAAAGAGAGGCCTATGGTCCACATAATGTAGGGGCCTTATAACTAGAATGGGGTTTTGGAGCTTCCTGATTGAAGTTGTAGTAGAATATACCTCCAAGCCCTATGAACATTCAGGCCCCTACATTGCACAAGGAGCACACAAGTGGGGCACGATCAGTCGACAATCCTAGCCAGCCGACTCCTTTCTCAATCTTGCATCTTGCTGCTGTCGAATGGACCGTTGGTTGAAGGAGCAGATCCATTGCCATGAAAGGCCTTCGATCATTCTTCGCCCCAGTCTATCATCATCAGACCGCTCTGAAACGCGGTGAACCGGGACCCCTCATGCCCTGACCTTGCATTCGAAGGCGTAGGGCAAGTCTGAATTCAGCTGCCAACTATGCCTATCCACGCAGAGATGACACAACGATGAAGCGTGCGCCCTAACAAATGGCAGAGAGTGAAGCTGCTGCCTCTCATCCGCCACTCAGCTGATGGGATTGAACGCAGCGATCTTCTCGACCTTCGCAAACTCCCACTCCTGATTGCACAACGGGCAGACCGAGCGGGTCTTAAGCCATCGCGAGATGCAGTCCATGTGGAAGACGTGGCCGCAACAGCCAAAAGCAATCGAGTAGCCGTTCACATCCGCCAACTGTGGGTTGGCCTGGGCCTCAATGGAGGGCTCGTAGAGCTTGTTGCGGCAGATGGCACAAGTATCCGTGCAGATATCCCAACCCCACAAAGCGATAGCGCTCCACTTCTTGATCTGGAACCGCGGCTCCTCGGAGGAGCCCTCCTTGTCCATGCCGCCTAAGCCGCTGGTGTTCCAGCTCTTGATCCCGGCTCTTGGGACCTCGGCTTCCATGGCCTTGTCCTCCGCCATGGCGCCCCCGGGCCTAAGCGGTCTGCCTTTGGGGGAGAGCCAGACGGCACCTCGTTTCGGAAACAGATCGAAATCTGTGGGTTTTCTGTTTTTTTTCCGGATTTCGTCTTCTTTGGCAAATTTCAGGAAGTGGGCGACTGCAAGCTGCAGCCTCGACTCGTGGCTTCTTCGGCCCGCGGCAACTGCGCACGCTCAGAAACCCCCATGTCTACCTCAACACAGCAGCTCCTACGATGGCAAGCATCCCCCCTTTTCCCCCAAGACCGTCCTTCTGATCACCTGCCCGGCCGGCATGGCCCTGGGCAGCTTGAATGGGCTTCAGGGTTTAGGGTTTAGGGTTTAGGGGGGTTGGGGAGTTCAAGGTGCAGAGTCTCGGGTAGTAGCTGAGGAGTTCCTACTTGACCGGGCCAAAGGTCGATCAAAAGCTTGGAAATCCTTGTCCGCATGACTTCGCCCATGCATCCTGTGGCTCACTGTTTGACGATCTGGCGCCCTTTCCCATCTCCAATCAGGGCTGCTGCAGTGGCTCTGGATCAACCCGGCTTCCCGCAGCGGCACTTGACCTGGGCATCCGTGTGAGGGACGTCTTCGGGATACATGTTACGAAAACAAAAAGCATGCTCAACCACGCGAAACGAATGCAGCTGCCTCTCTGCAAGGTTGCGCGCTCATCGGAATTTGGCATTGCAGCATTTTCCTAAATCCTCTCCAATCATGGCACTGACTATGTCCGTGGTGCCTCAACAAAAACATACAAAAACACATGCATGTCCATCCCACTTCAGCAAGGGACGCAGCATGCAGAAATGGCCTAAAGGAGACATGTAGACCTGTGCTGACCTCGATGCAAATCCCTAAACAAAGAAAAATCCATTAGACACCAGGGCGTCACCAAACTCAATCTTATCACAAGTTCTCTCGATCCAATGGCAGGTTCAGCAGGAGCAGTAGCCTTTTCATGCGAAATTAGGCGGCCCCAAGAGATCTCCCGAAGCCTTTTCAAGGTACAGTAAACTACAACGCTCCGCATACCTGCGGGTGGCCACTTCACTGAATGCGGGCAGCCCCTTCAGAAGTACAGGACCGAGACAGCGAGCACCAACGCGCTCGGCCAGAGCCGCTGACTGTTGCTGCCCTCGCAGTAGATACCCACGTGATCCGCGAAGTAGAGCTTCGAATCCGTGACAAACTCGTAGCCGGTCAACTGCTCTTGCACCTGTCGGACGCTGGTCACCGAGCTGGGCCTTACGGTTTCGTTGGACGGGTCGAGGAAGAAGACCACATCTCCCACCTCAACTTCGGTGGGGTGCTTGTTTTTCCACCGCTTGCCTCCCTCAACGTTAGGATCCCGGACAGGTACGAAGGCATCAGGGCCGACCAGCACAGGCTTCCCCACCAGATGCGCGAGCTCGTGGTCGATCTCAGTGTAGTTCGTCAGGCTCACTGTGGTGACGGCAATGTTGCAGCCCATGTTAGTTGCCTGCCTGCTTCGATACCCCCACTTTTCGTGCATGACGTCATACGGGGTCACTGGATATGTCGCCCTCGGCCCGCTTGCTTTTCCAGGCGAGAAGACTTCCATTGGAGACCCGTCTTCGTTCTTAATGTCTTCGACCTTCCAGTCTCCTTTCCTTAGCCGCCCTTAGAACCAGAATTACAATAACATTACTGGTAGTCCCTTGGCGTTATATTATAAGAAAACAAAACATAATTCCTAAGAGCAGTAAAGTTTCAAAGAAACCGACTCGCACTTGGCCTCCCCGTGACGGAGCTCGCATTGATGGTCCTCACCCCCAGACGCAGAAATCACGGTTCCTTTCGGCACACAGCGCCAGTTACGCCCACCGTTGGACGGAGCTGGCTCGTGGCGCACGCTCGATGCTTCCTTCAAAAAGAACTGCTGCATATTGGAAACCTCCTCCCAGCACGCAGAGTTCATCTGGCATGCACGGATGTGCTGCCGGACCACCCCAGCACGTACCTTCGCCGAGGACCTGCGAAAGAGCTCTCGCAAGCTGAGATGCGCCGATTGCTCGGCCTTGAACGTGGCTTCCTGGAGGATGCTCGGGATCTGCAGGAGCTTTAGGGCGGCGGAATGGTTTTGGAAGGCCTCCTCGTCGAAGTGGGCGGAGACGAGGTCGTCCGCCTCGCGGCAGAAGTCCGCCAACGCGGGGTCCGGGGTCTCCTTCACCAAGTCACCGAGTCCAAACTGCCGGCCTGAGAAGGTGAAGAGCGTCGCATCCAGCGAGGCGCACAAGATCTCGTTGTACTGGTTGTTGCAGCAGACATCGAAGCCCAACTTCCATGCAGACCAGTTGGCATTGTAGAAGTGCTCTTCTTCCTCCTCCTGGGTCTTGCTGAGGCACTGGAGATTATCTTGCGGCACCCCGAGTGCTGCTGCGATGAGAACGGATTGGCACGGCGATATCCGTGCTGCAGAAGGGCATGCCCCCCCCCAATCGGTGGCCAGGAGCAAGCCCCGTCTGCAAGGTATTCGGTCCCTGAGCCCTTCGCGACGACCATGAATGCGGCGAGCGCGAAGCTAAGCATCGTGGTTGTCACGATAATTGCGGTACACACGGGAGAAGATTAACTTTTCCAGCTGCGAGCCTGCGGCGCTGGTGAGTCCTCTTAAGGATCTGAGCTGGCCCCTAGAAGCCGAAATCTGCTTCTCTGCCTGGGGTTTAGGGTTTCAGGCCCCCCGTCTTCAAATCCTTTTCTTTTGCTTCTGTGCAGCAGATGAGGGGTTTAGGGTTTGGGGTTT